ATGGTTATGAACAACAACGTCATCCCTGCAAATAACCGAATTGAATGAGTTTGGTATCAAATGGAACTGTGAATCATCTGTCATACTGGGAAAGAAACTTGTTGTGTATGGGAATTGGCTGGCCCGAATGAATCTGCTGATCTATTCCTGCAAGAATCTATTAAGCATAAGTGTGGAGTTTATGGTATCAAGTTCATGTCATCCGATGATTTGGAGCACGATCTTCCGGGGATGGTAAATAGGTTATTTTTTTATGCATTTCGGTTCGACCACAATGGGCTATTTGATAACGTGGGTACTATATGTTATACGTGGGTAGCGTGCGACGAGAATTGATTCAAGTTGGTTGTTGGACTCATCAAATTTTCCATTCAATGCTAGCCGAGATGATGTAATGAGCAACGCGAATAAACGTTGGATGAATCAAATGGGAGCATAGATCGGTTCTTGTTAATATTTGCATCATTGTCACGTCGCGTATTCTGTCCCGAGCGCAGTTATGTGCCTAACTAAATGAATGCATGTAGGTGTCAAATGGAGCCAAATCGGATCGGTATACATGACAGGTGAGGAGAAATGTGGGTAGGTGACGGTTTCTCCAAAGTGGGAGTGGCTATCATCAACGACCATTGTTGGGTTATCAATTCCACTGGCCAAGATTTGGAAAGCCACCAATAATGGCTTGAACTAGTCATGGCCATGGTTCGGAACCGACCGGTTCCGGTTCGGAACCGGCGGTTCCGATTCGTGGCCAAGTATGAACCGGACGGTTCCGGTTCCGGTTCAGGTTCGGAACCGGTTCCGGGCCGGTTCATAATTTTTCTTTTCTGTTTTTTTCTTTTTCTTTTCCTTTTTTTTTTCTTTTCTTCCTCCGCCGGCCATAGCCGGGGCCGGCGGAGGTCACCGGCCTCAGGCGAGGCCGCCCTCGCCGGCATCGGGCGAGGGCCGCCCTCGCCGGCATCGGGCGAGGGCCGCCTCGCTGGGCGGGCGAGGCCGGCCTCGCCGGATCGAGCGAGGGCTCGCCTCGCCGCGAACCGGGCGAGGCCGGCGAGGTCGAACCCTCGCGGATCCGGCGAGGCTCGACCTCGCCGGCAACTGGCGAGGCCGGCCTCCCCTGAGGCCGGCAAGGTCGAACCCTCGCCAGATCTGGCGAGGCTCGACCTCGCCTGCAACTGACGAGGCCGGCTTCACCTGACGCCGGCGAGGTCGAACCCTCGCCAGATCTGCAGCTTCTTCTTTTTTTTTTTTTTTTTGAATTGGGCCTAGAACCGGCGGTTCCGGGCCGGTTCAAAAATTTCTGGAACCGGAACCGGGCCCGTAGGGCACGGGCTGGTTCCGGTTCCAAACCGCGGGCCCGGTCAACGGGCCGGGCCCGGGTTTGACCGGGCCGGTTCCAGGCCGAAACCGGCCCGTCGCCATGACTAGCTTGAACAATCCCATTCCCCATCACATCAAGGGCATGGATGAACCCTCAGCTATTTTAAAACAGATCAGCCTCAAAGTTATCACCTTGAGCTCTCAAAGTCTCCACAACAGTAGAAGATCATGCTGAAGAAAGGGAAAAATTGTTCAAAATGTCCTAAATATATTGTACGGCAGCCAATTCAGTCCTAAACTTTTCGACTTTGCCAATTCGGTCGTAAACCTTTTGATTCCAATCAATTTTAACGGGAAAATCACTTATGTGAACGCCGGCTGCCTTACGTGGCACGACTACCATGTCAATGATTTTCGTCCCAAACTAGCTTAAAAGGAATGATTACTTTGGCAAATTGTTGAAAAGTTTAGCACTAAATTGATAAAATTTAAAAGTTTAAGACTTAATTAGCTATTGTACAGTAGGTTTAGGATTTTTTTGGACAATTATCCTAGCAAAGAAAGACCGAGCTGTTCCAATCAGTAAAGTTTGTTTAGCATATGTGGGTATGTGTCCGTCCACTTCGTTCTTTGGTGGTATCTATATTGACATGTACATTTGTGTTTTGTGGCTTTCACTACATCGGAGGGCCTCGTTGCTTTGTCTTCGGTCTTTTTTGGCAAAAGGACACTATAAGTGTCATAACTTGTGTACGGAGATCATTTTGGTGCCATAACTTTTTTTCGGATCACTTTGGTGCCAAGTCGGAGGAAAAACGATCACTTAAGTGTCATAAGTTTTTTTGGATCACTTCAATGCTAAAATTTTTGAAAAAGATCACTTAAGTGCTAAAATTTTTGAAAAACGATCACTTAAGTGCCAATCTCCAGCGAGCCACGTCAGTTTCGGAAATTAATAAAAAAAATGCCACGTCGGATTTCCGGCGAAAAATTGTGTACGGCACCGGAATTGGCACTTAAGTGATCATTTTTCAAAAATTTTAGCACTAAAGTGATCCAAAAAAAACTTATGGCATCAAAGTGAGCGCCGTACACAAGTTATGACACTTGTAGTGTTCTTTTGCCGGTCTTTTTCCTTCAAGACTTTGAAAGTTGAAGATATTTTGAGGACTATGAAATGATTTGAAAACGACTGGAAAGGTTGAGTAAAGCAACAGGTAAAGGAGAGAACAAGTTGTGAGACATGAAGAACACCAAAGGGACAAACCTTTTGTATCAATGAAAGGGCGGGATGGGTGGGTAGGATTGGCGGTGTCCGCTTTATGCGTTATCATAAGGGTCTCGTACCCTTTACGGAATATTCGGTTTGACTCATAATTATTCCGTATTACCACCGCACATTCGAAGGTTCGAGATTGGCGAACTTGTCACCGCAACCTCATCAAGTTACTAACGGCCAAAAAGTCTCTCCGTACAAGACGCCTCATTGTCGGGGGGGCAGCCACAACATGGGCTGTTCACATATTCGGTCGCGATTTTAAACGAACTCGTAATCTCCTGAAGGATAAATGAAACGCTCAATACCACAAAAGACCTCAAACTACAAATTTATTCCAAACTAATTTTTTAACCACAGAAAAACCCAAACTGATATACCCGTGATAAATTTATTTCAAACTAATTTTTTTACCACAAAAAATCCGAAAATGTTACGCCTTTGACAAATTTACCCTATGTTAATTTCCGTTAAATTTAATTAATACCATGAAAAATCATAAATTGGTACGTCCATGACAAACGAAAGTAAAACTCTAAACTGGTATACCCGTAAATTACCACATGTTATCTAATTCAACAATTTTTAACGAGGGTAAATTTATCACAAATGTACCGGTTTGAAATTTTTTGGAATGAATTTTTCGTGATATTAATCCTAAATGAAATAATCCTTTTATCGTCCTCTTTTGGGCACCGATGTGACTTCATCGCGCACGAATACAGCACCAGCTTCCTTACGAAGGCACGCCCAGTGCATTCCCACGTGGCTGATCCCGGTAAAAAGTCCTGACCCCAACTTACCCAGAAAGATCTTGCCCCATACGGCGTGCGCGACGTCGTCGTTTTTGAGCTCTTGCGAATTTTTTTTTTCTTTCCTTTTTTTCCTGCAAAATTTAATTTTCCGTGGTGGTGGGATCCCAAATCCCATAAAAAAAAACGTATATTTTTTTAAGGAAATAAGGCACAAAAACCCAAAATTATGCCAATTGCGATACATTTATTATATATATTTTATATTTTTACATAAAAAACTCTAAGCTACACCCGCTGTGATACGTTTATACTAAACTTTCTCTTGTGGCATAAAAAACCCAAAATTTTTATTCACGTGACATGTGATTTTTCATCTAAGATAACGTCGTTCCAGACGTCCATGTTGGCAAATTTTTAACGATTCTCATTAATAGAACTTTGACGAAATGTAAAAGTGTTACATATATGTACAAGTTTGAAATTTTTGATATCACAGGAAAAAATATTTAAAATAAATATGTCACAATAAATATAATTTATGATTTTTAATGATTTTTGCCCTTTAATTTAATCTGATCGCGAAATAGACATGTAGTCCTGCCGGTAAATGGATTGAAAGTGGGGATGCTGGTATCACAGGTGCGGGATTCAATTCGCATGTTCTGTAAGAGACAAAGTAAAAATCAGAAAACGAGAAGAGTTAGATATAAAATAGATAATATATATATATATATATATATATATATATATATATATTTTGCTGTGCATGTTCACAGCACCAGCTGTGTTTCCTTCCTAAGAAGGTACGAAACAACTTCCAGTACAGTCCCACGTGGCCGATCCTAGTAAAATGCTAGCTTCGACCTCCGCAAAAAAAAAAGAAAAAAGAAGAAGATCTCGTACGATATTCCAAATACGGCACGTGCGACGCGTCGTTTTTAGCCTTTTTCGCTCTTTTTTTTTTTTTTTGGCCCTGCGAAATTTGACTTCCCCGCGGTGGGGGATCCCAAATCTGAATCCAAGCCCCATTCAAAATGTCCTTTCCTAATCGTCTTTTTCTTTTCTTTTGACCAAAAAAGAATCATCTTTTTCTTTTGACCAAGAAAATAAATTATCTTTTTCTTTCTGCCAAAAAGGAATTATCGTTCTTTCTTTTGGGGTCAGTAAATTAAGAGTACTAAAACTTGTCATAAAAATATAATTGAGTCCCAAAACTTTCAAAAAGTGCAATTGAGTCCGAAAATTTTCAAAAAAGTGCAATCAAGTCATGAAACTTGTCAAATTGATCAAATCAGTACTATTTTTTGGTAATTTTAGAACTCAATTGTACTTTCTTAATTTCACACTTTGAAAATTTTATGACTTAATTATACTTTCATGACAAGTTTTAGAATTTTCAGTATATTTATCTCTTTTCATTTTTCTTTTTTCACGGAATAGTCAATGCCTTTTTAATTGTCAAACGAACCATGCGCTCTCTCCCTCTCCTTATTTGGTGGCTCGCCACCACCTACCCACCTTGTGTGGACCGACCTCTAAAATTAAATTCCTCGAAAATAAAATTACCGAAGGATAAAATATAATTTATTTATCGGGGAAAAAAATCGGATTAGATTCCGGATTAAATACGAGCTCCCTCGTGCCTCCGCTTCGGCTTCTCTTTCGTATCGAAAGGCGAAGGGCGACGGCGAAGGCGAAGGACTTCTGCCGCAGAAGAGGAACCGCTTCGTCCTCGGGAGTTCCGCGAGTCTCCGCCGCCGCCGCCGCCGCCGCCGCCGTCGTCGTGGGTGGGGCGATTGGTGGGCGATCTCCGATGGCGGCCTCGAAGCTCGCGATCTCCATGGCCGCCCCTCTCGTCTGCTGCCTCCTCCTCGCCGCCCTGATCTGGGCTCCCTCGATTAGGGCGGATTCTGCCGCCGCGGCCGTGGCCGAGGTGGCGGACGCGATCGGCGGCTCCGATTCGTCCGCCTTGAAGGCCGAGGTCGAGCAGCTCAAATCCAAGATCAGCGTCCTCGGTGAGTCGTTCGTCGCCCTCCCGACGATGCCTTCGATGCGGGTTTGCGAAATCGTGGGCTTAGCGGTGGCTCGATGTGGTTCTGTTTTTTTCCTGCTTTTTCTGTGGTTAGATCGGGATTTTCTCTCGTTTTGTTACTTGATAAGTGCGGATGAGGGTCGCTGTGGTTGTCGTCGAATGTCGCTCTCGCTCGTCCGGTTGGATTCGTGTAAATGCGGCTCGGCGCGCGCGCGAGAGTTGTGTCGGTGAAGTTCGTGTTTCGGGTCGCCGGATGTTGCGTTGGTTGTGCGGGCGGTGTCGCTTTTGGCTTGTTGAATTTTAGAGTGAAAGGAAACGGATTGGCATCCGTACAATGTGCTATGCGTTTGCGGAGTTTAGGCGGATTCGATTTGGATCGAAGTGCTTCGTAATGATTCTTCTGTTATGACTACTGACCCGCCATTTTTTGTGAACTTGATGGCCAGGATAGATGGTTGAAGTTCCTTATGACGTGGAAAAGTTTAGCTTTTTCGAATCTGCTTTTTGTGCATGATGTTGTCTTACAATGACTGCTACGTAATTTGCTTATTGTCTAACACCTCATACATTTGTTTATCGATGTGAAGATTCCTTTCTTAATGAGAAAACTAGAGAGCTGCAGACCAAGGACAAGATCTTAGCAGAGAAGGAGAAAATCATAAAAGAGAAATTGGACAAAGTTGCATCATTACAGAGTGAGGTATCGTCTCTGCAGGTATTTCTCACGTGTTCTTCTGTTGATTCAATGTTGCTTTTGTTTAACTCTTAGAATTTGCTCTGACGATATTGGTTTTCTGCTTCGTAGAAAAAGGGGAAACTGGATGCTGCAGCTGAGATAGGGAAGGCTCAAGCTCGGACCACTGAATTGGAGAAACAGGTTGGAAATGGACCAAAGTTATGGAAACTCTAGAAGCTCTGGTGTTTTGTGAAATAATGCCGGAATGCTTACTTATCTAGGTGGACAAGCTTAAAACAGATATAGAATCGCAGCTAAAGGAAAAGGAAGTTTTGGAGTCTCGCTCGAGTAAAGCTGAGAAGAGGATGAATGATCTAAATACAAAACTGGAAAATGTAAGCTTCCAGTGATGGGATTCCCAACAAAGTCTCATGCTATTGTGATTCTCTTCTTTTAATCTATTTCGGTTGTTTCTTGTTGCATTGTACATTTCCTTTGTTCTAAATTGATGCATGTCTCTGGTTTGTTAGAGCAACATGTATGTTAGATAAATCTTTTGATAGTATAGTGGTCTGGAATGAAGCCTACATTCTTTAATTAACTTCACTACCGTAATGAATAGAACCGTCTATGGATGCCTCATGGAAATTTCCTGACAGATGATGTCATGGGGTTTTTGTCATCTGTGTTTGCTGGACATGAAATATCACAGTAAACCCACCCTTGTAGCTAGTCCCATTGGAAGGAGTGACATTTTTTCCCCTGCCAGTGGTTGCCTTAATATAGTGTCCCGATGAATTTACAACTTCATTATCATATCAAGAACCGTGTTTAGGATTATCTGGTTTTTCTAATGCAGCTTTCCTGGATGTGATGCTGAAGTGCTGATTCATGCGCAGCACTTTTGTAAAACTTCTAAAGAAACGAGTGAAACACCCATGCAATGCACGGGTTGAAACAGTCCTATATAAAGATATTACCATATATGGATTTAATTTTAGTTACTTTGGCTCTATTAAATTTGTTTTGTGCGAGTAACATCAAAGTTATCTTTTCATATAACATGTCAATTTCTATAATAATTTATAACATATACCTCTTAGGTATACTACATGATTGTTGGACTATAAATTCATCTCTTATATTGAAGAAAAGACTAGAAATGTGCATTGCAAGCGTGCATTTAACCTTATGTAAGGTTTTTAGTTGGTACTTATACTTCTACGCTTTTTAAAGTGGAGATGGTTTAGCAAAGTATGATACTGTTACTTTATTCTGTTTATTTTAGAGTTGTGGATACAGTTTATCCATATGGCGTAGGCATTGTGCATAACCTCCTCTAGGGTGGTTATTGAAACCACTGTCTTGCCAAACTTACTTGCTTTGATGCTTTTCCAATTGCATATATTAGATAATAGGCTCAGAGAAAAACTGGCGGAAAATTCACCTTCCAAAGGTGATTTGCCGTTTTAGCTATTTTGAATTATATGGTTTTCTTAATCAGCATGCATTTTTAGAAGGCGGAAAAAATGTGTGCAAGAAATATGGTTATAATTCATTGTAGAATATATGAACATTAGACAGTTGTTTATATAAGAATAGCTAATGATTAACAAAAAGAAGTAAACATGTGATACTGCTTGTGGTCATAGTGTGTCAGGCAATCACTTGCTGCATTTCCCACTTTAAAATATGAAAGCATGTCAATTCTGTATTGAACATTGTGACATAAGCTGTGTACCATTTTCTTTTTTTTCCTTTTTATGGGGCTCTCCAAAAGTGATGCATTTATAGATGTAACACAGTTGATTTTCCTCTAAACATTGCCCTGGAAGATGGATTTAGTCAAACTGCAATCCATGTGCATGAGATGAGTCTTTGGTGCCTGAATCAATGCTGCTTGGCTGCTTTAAACTGATCTGCACTAAGATTCATATCATGTTTCTGTGGGCACTTGACTCAAGACAGTATCTTGAAGTGTTTGTTTTGATCTTAGGTGTTATACAAACTATACGGTTGCTTTCATCCATGAATTGGAAAGATATATTCGAGCATACTTTTGTGCATATCTAGATATAGAATGAGATGTATGTTGCTCTGCAATGCTGGCTCTTCAAAAGTCAAGCTTCATGCTGTTCGGTAGGTGTGTGCTAACATCAATTTATAAAATTCCTTGCCAGCTCCAAAAGATCAATGATGAGCAGAAGTCAAAGATACGTAAAACTGAACGAGCTCTTAAAGTGGCTGAGGTATGTATATCTGCATGCCCTGTTTTATGTAATTGAAACTCTGGGATGACCCTCCTGTGATATCCTTTTTTGCTAATCAGGAGGAACTAATGAAGGCAAAGACTGAAGCTGCTTCAAAGCATAAGGAGCTGACAGAGGTACAAGACCTGAACTGTTATTAAATCTTAAAACAGTCTATTCTGTTTTCAGAAATAGAAGGCAGCGTTTCTGTTGTTTGACAGACCCCTTTTTAGATCATCTTTTCAGAATTGATCTTGAGAACAAGATTGGTTTAAAAAAATCTTCATAACTAAGTAGCACAATGGTGGTTTTCCTTGCTTAACCGAAAATTTTTGTCATTGGATAATATTTTTATAACGCACTAGGAAAAGATAATATTGAAATTGATTTACTCTGAAAAAAATTCCCTATCACGACCTTTCACTGCTGTTCACATTATATGATGTGCTCAAGAGCATATGTAGTAGATGGTGCTTGGTTATTCTTGGAATCATGATTCAAGAAACATCTTGTGCTAAATTACGCAGGCAAATAATTGTATGATATGATCAATGCTTTTCTTCTTCATGTTAATCTTTCCATCTTCTCTAGAAGCTCACACACTCAATTTATGCTCAGGTTCATGGTGCATGGCTCCCACATTGGTTGGCTACACATCTTTCTCAATTTCAGGTAGTTCTAGTCTTGTGCTATCTTTGTTCATAAAGGCTGTTATTGAGATGTGATGATCATTCACTTGCAGTCCTTCATTGAGTTGCACTGGAATGAACATGGAAAACCTGCGATGAATACTATTATTGAGAAGGTACCATTTACTATTGCCAAGTCACGAGTATGGTAAATGGAAAGGGTCATCGATGGTTTCACAGTACTCTTTCAAGCAGACACTCTGATTTTATTGTGCCTTCTGCTGCTTTAACTGTGTTACTTTATAAACTGTGCTAGACCTTGGAGAAGAAATCTCAAGCTGTAAAGTGGGCTGAACCTCACCTAGAGACGATGAAGAAGGTAAGCTATCTATTTTTTGGGAATGTTAATGCTGTGTCAATCTGGTCATGGATCTAGCTATGAGTGAAAGTTAAATGAGTATGGTGGATCATCTACTAATTGTACGTGCTAAATTTCATTCCTATAGTCTAAAATTATTGTTATTCCTTTTTTCTCTCAAGGAGTGGATTCCGGCATTAAAGGAGCACTGCTTGACAGTAAAAACATCTCTCGAGCCGCATGTGCATTCTCTGACTACAAAAACCCTTGAGGTTTATGAGTCATCTAAGACTGCTCTTACTCCACACTTGATTAAGGCTCAGGAAGTTGTCGATCCCTACTACCAGGTTGATAAGATATGAGATCCCTTGTCTCTTCATATGCTTTGAACATACATGTTAAGGCTATGGTCCTGTTCTGCAGGAAGTCAAGAAGTTCAGCAAGCCGCATATCGATAACATTGTTACTGTGACAAAACCTCATGTTGATAAACTAAGGTTGACCTTGAAGCCCTACACAAAGGAAGTAGTTCGTGTCTATGGGAAGTTCTTAAAGTCTGCGTCAATTTATCATCATCAGGTACTGGTGTATGTACTGATGTGCAGAAACGACATTCTATACTCCTGTATGGTCATGATCTCGAGTTGGTATTTTATACTTGGTTGAGATGTTTACCGTCAAACTCTTTTTACATTTTCGGCTATTCTTGATTGATTTGTCCAGTTGTGAGATATTATCTGCCTCTTTGATCCTGAATGTTGCCTCTCATTCCTCTAGATGAAGTCTCTTTGGATGAGTTGGTTTTGTCTTTCTTAGAACAGAAAGAGTTTTCAGCCTACCTCGACTTTGATTGTATTGATCAATTTTTTTTAATCTTCCGCATGAACAATGGCTCCTGGTTTTGTATGCTGTATAATATATGCTATACGCACATATAGTAACTAGTTCTAATTTCTCTTAAGGTACAAGGCCATATTAGAAAGACATTGAAAAAGCATGAGTTGACAAGACCTCTTGCAACTAAGGAGTTTGAGTGGTTTGCGGTATGTTCTCATAGAGTTGTTGCTCTCTTATCACCTTGTCTTTATTGTGATACTGACTTACCTTATTAACAATTTCCTTTACCAATTGTACTTAGGCATCTGCTCTGTTGGCTCTACCAATCATTATTCTCTCGAAGTTTCTCTCAGCTTTGTTTGGGTGAGCTTCATATCAGCTATTTATCTTCTACAAGTTTGCTAAATTGCTTTACTTGGCTGTCGTCTATTTGTAGTTGGAAGATGAACTGTTGTTTGGTTTTTTACACTTAGATTGAGCTTCCATTTGTATATTTGCTGCAGCATAAAAGCCAAGAAACCTGCACGAAATGCTCATAAGAATCATGCGCGTCGTAAGGCTAAACGCGGACATCCTGACAAGTAGAGTATGGAGAGGCATTTGGTTCTTTCTTCATCAGCAGTATGAGGTATAACTGACAAACTGCACAATTTCCAAATGTAGCACAAGTGGTTTTTTTGGTGAAATGTGGTCATAAATGCGGTTCTTTGTATGTTCACATGGTCATAGATGAATTTCTTGTCATATTGAAGAATCGGAGCTTTATGAAAGCATTTCATTGAAAGTTGCACGATATAAAATGTTTTTGCGGCTTTCTTCCAGGGTGAATGCTCACTCAGTTTGTTTTACAGATGTGGACTCCTGCATGTCGTGTGGCTCTCTCCGGTTGTGAAGTCATATTCTCATGAACGATCTTTCAGTTTTGAAGCATGCTGCTCATTGTTTACGTGAAAGTGAAAGCTTAGATTAGTTTCCACAGGAAAGGGTGTAGTTTTTAGGGCAATTCTGAACTTCATGTACTATATATGCACTTTTTGCGCTGTGTGTTTCATGTAGGGGGTGTAACTTATACATTTTTTCTTCTGGAGATGTTGCTTGGCAATTCTATTTAACATAAGCTAGCTTCTCTCTTCTGTTTACCCATTTCCTCTGATTTTTTTTCTGATGAGTTTGTTGAGAATGAGTGGGACAAGGGAGTTGCTGTCGTGGGTCTAAGATGAACCATAACAAATGCAGCTATTTTTAGTGAAAATCTTGCAATCGGAAGCGAGAATTGCTGGAACATTTGCTTAAATACAAAAGTAGTTCGAATGCCACAAATATGTTGTTGGTTTGGATTTGACAGCCATCGAGATTATGGAAGTAAAATGAAGCTGCGGACTTTTCAGTAAAATGGAGGGTGTGTTTGTTCTGATGTGAATGTGCTTTGATGATGAAGGATTGGGCACTTTTGTAGGCTTATGACTAAAATAACTAAAATTGTCATGCCCTTGAATTGAATCGGACGCGTGGCGATGCCCTATGCGTATATTTATACTTGCAAACGCATGCAAGGTAACTAAATTATGTCAGTCACATCATTCAATTGAAACTCAAACGTGAATTATCGAAGATTTCTCCAAGATGATTTCTAGCCTCCAAAATAAAAGAAATCAAAGAAGGTGCATCCAAAGTTTTGACTTCGAGCATAAATTATATCAACAAATATTCTCCTTAAATAATCATAAAGACATGGAAATTTAGAGAATTTTCAAGTACCGCCAAGATACAACCAAACATGAGATGATTGCACGTCACTATCCATCCCTAGCAGTTTTCACTAGATCTGAAAAAAACATGATATCGTACATGAATGGGCTCATCAGCTCAGAAGTGCTCCTCTATCTTCACGAGCGATCAGACATGCAATTTTTTTTTTTATCCATATAGAAACAAACCGTTCAGCAGAATTCCTTTAGCATGTTAACACAACTAGTATATACAAGATTTTGCCTAGTTTCTGGATCATGAAGAACAATCAACAATGTTGACTTTTGACCTGAGCTAAAATTCAATTGAATTGGTCCTTTACGAGGAACCTTGGCCGCATTGGGGTTCCCCATTGGAACCTCGGCTCGTCACACATCAATTCATCTTCTTCGCGTTTCTTTCTTTGCGCCCGTCAAGTTGGAATTGTTAGTGGCTCTTTTGCTGACTGCTTCTTGAGATGGACAAGAAGAGTCGAAAAAGTGGGGAAAGCTCGTGGGAAATTGTGTGACGTGCTTTGCTCACGTCTAAGCTTTATCTGATCTTTGAATTTTCGAATTGAGGATTATTATGACTGAGATTGTGAAACAATTTACTAATGTCGGGATATTCATCATTACAAAAAATGAATAGAACGAAATAAATAAAATTTTAGAGGGTTCATTACATGACCGCGTATATTACACATTACTATCAAGCTCGTACAAGATTGAATCATGTGACACGCTGATGTGGGAGGTACCCAGCTGCGAGCTAATATTGCCAGGTCAACTTATGGATTGGAGAGAGTTCGCTTTGCTGTCATCAGAACTCAAATTCTACAAAGTCTACCTAATTATGATAAATGCCACGTGGACTCTATATAAGATCTTCCCTAGTATTTTGTTTCAGAACTTGGGGGCCAATCAATTAGACCTAATTAAATCAATCTTTTGTCCTATGCAGGACATACGAAACTCTTTTTTTTGGTTTACTGTAAATCGAGAGCCGAGGTCCACAAGATGGCAAAGACTACTCCAAGCATGTGATTAATACTGCTCTCAATCATTTCATTATTACTAAACAAAGAGAAAACCCTCCAACTTCCAATAGATTCCGAGTTAGAACATAGACGTAGAACCGTCACACCAATTGTATTTGCTTCAAATAGTTGCCAAGCTAGGCTCGGTATTAAGAATCTTCGTATATACTCAGAATATGTGAGCTCACTGCATCTTGGAATTTATATAACATGGGCATGAACGTGACCTAATGACCAAGGTGGAGTAAGTCGAGATGCCCCGGATGCATACAATGCTTGCTTCTTCTTGACACACAAACACCAAAGAATAAGGGTGCGTATGGTAACGTTTCTATTTCTAGGAACAATTTCTTTTCAGAAATAGTTTTTTCTATTTCTATTTCCTGGAAGAGTTTCTGAGCAAAATAATGCGTTTGGTAACTGCACAAAATTTCTATTTCTAGAACAGATATGTGTTTGGCAACTGCACAAAATTTCTATTCCTGGAATAAAAAAAGAACATAAATTCGTTTGGTAACTGCACAAAATTTCTATTCCCAATTTTTTGCATTCAAATCTATATCTTTTATTTAACTATAAGTACAAGTTATAAGTAAAAAAAATCAATAAGCATGATTTATTCATTTGTCTAATCCTTTTTAGGGGTTTAAAACCCATTTTAATCCCTAAACTAAGGAATCTTCAAAAATACCACTTGGGCACCTCAAAAATTTAAATTTCACTCAAAGTGGCTGGTCACAGGTATTCTAAGCCATTATGTAAATTTTTTTATATTTTTTGGGGTAAAATTTATTAAAATTTTTTACTTTCCCTAAATCTGTTTCTTTTTATTTTTCCGAAAATTTTTTATGAAATTTTTTTAATTTTTTCAATTTCGGAATTTTGCAAATATTTAAGGGTTTTCTGAGTTTTTCTGATTTTTATGGATTTTCTGAGAATTTTTCTGATTTATATGAATTTTGGGAATTTTTTAATTTTCTAATTTTTTATGGGATTTTTCTGAAATTTTTCTAATTTTTATGAATTTTCGGAATTTTTTTAATTTATTCTAAGCCATTATGTGAATTTTTTATTTTTGTTTTTTTTGGGGAAAAGTTTATTAAAACTTTTTACTTTCCCGAAATTTGTCCCTTTTTATTTTCCAGAAAGCTTTTTATGAATTTTTATGAATTTTTTCAATTTCGGAATTTTGCAAATTTTTATGGGTTTTCTAAGTTTTTCTGATTTTTATGGATTTTCTGAGAATTTTTCTGATTTTTATGAATTTTTGGAATTTTTTAATTTTTTATAATTTAATTAATTTTTTATAATTTTTTTATTATTTCCGCCGAGAATGGACCGGACCGGTGCTTTGAGACGGTTTGCAGACGACGGAGGATGGAGGAGGAGCTGGGGTCACGACTTGAGGACCGGACCTTTCTATTTCTATTTCTAGGAACAAAGAAGTAGATTTTTTCTACTTCTTATTTCTGCTCCAAATCTATTTCTTGGCTACTTTTCTATTCGAGGAAATAGAAAAATAAAATGCGTTACCAAACGGAATTCTATTCTTTTTTTGTTCCAGGGAACAGAAGAACAGAAAAATAGAGAAACAGAAGCGTTACCAAACGCGCCCTAACGCGCGGAAGGCAACGACTAAGCGTGGAGAGGAACACTACTAGAAGTGGGAAAGGAAAGGCCCACTCGGAGCAATAAATGCAACGAATGGAATGCTCGTTCACATGATAATGCCTGGAAGGCAACGACTAAGAACTTTGCTAAGTCCAGATCAATTCACCGGTTTGAGTTTTCCAATTACATCAATTATATCAGTTCGAAAGCCTACATGAGTCCATTGTAATTCCTCCAATTGGAATAATGGGCTGGTTGCCACGACCAATACGGACCACATGTCGGGGGGTGAGGAGTTAGGACCACAAGGAGGCAACGACCGAGAAATTTTTCTTTAGTTCAATTAACAAGAACGCGCATGAGATAAGTCGAAATTGAGGGCTCTCTAGATTCCCGATATGAACATATGAAATATAGGGGTTACTAAATTTTTGGACATCAACTTTCCAATACACATTCTCACACAAGCTAACGTAGGCTCGTGGACAGGAAAGATGAAGGCCCGAACCAATTGGATTTTGTGTATGTTAGTTGGACGTACAGTAGATTCGGTTCCCTGTACCAATAAATATTTATTTTTCTTTTTTTGGGGCCATCCATCCGAATTTAGACTAGCTTCCTATCTGGTCTATGAAGTTAGTGGAGTATTTATATTTTAGACTAGCTTCCTCATTATAAAAAAAGAATGTTTTAAATAAGTTGACCTAAATTGTATCAAGTATCTTTGCATACCTTACGCGCAAAACAAAGCTCGAGCCAAAATCCAAATCTTAACTAGCCCAAACATGGAATTATTTTTTTCTTTTTTTTTTCTTTTTTACAAGATCAAAAACCTAGCTTCCTTGAGATTGATGGAACATCTTGCAAGTCCTGCAAACCCGATTAAATCCAGGCCTGAACATCTTCTAAGACAGGGTGGGCCGATTCCCGATTCCACAAACGGAGAATCAACCTGCCTGGTCTGGTTTCAGGTTCCAGAGTAGGAACTGACCCACCCTGGAACCAAATATATTGATGGTTTCGGATTTGGGCTCCCTCTCGATAATCTCCTCATGCGATGGTATTGGACTTTTGCTGAGCATCCCTACAACAAAAATGAAAAAAAAAAAACCAACTCGTGAAAGTTGGCTCATTGTTTCGTCCGGCCTGAAGTAGTTCAATCCGTCATGCCAATATTCAACTAGAAATTTGATGTGAGAGCATCCGATTCTATGGAACAATCTTTAAGTTCCAACCTGATTCCATCAATTAATTCAGCACAATCGATGTTCATTCAAGTAAAGGCAGATTCTGGTCACAACTTAGTTCGATGGGTGTAACATCCTCAATTTCCGTCCCCAGAAAATCGCCATGGAACTAGTGTATGGACCAATTCGAGGGTTGGTTATAGATCAGGCTAGTATGGTCAATCGTTTAAGGCACCTGAAACCTTGATTACCTTAGTTCTTTGCTAAGCCAAATTTAGTGAAATTTGTTGTTCAAAGAAGGAAGTGCCATTATAACTAAGCAAGAGGATGAGACTCGTTTCTAAACCTTCCAATCTTCCTACACCCTTGATTTTGCTAGAATTGAGTTTTATTAAATCCAATTTGGTGGTTTTCCCATTTGAACTCAATTCTTGATTTTGTTCTGGAAAACCCAGATTCGGATCCTCTGTACCTCTTCGTTTTATTATTTTTGTGGAAAACTTTGTGGACCAAATTTCTAGAAATTTTCTTCTTGAAAGTTGTTCCCAACATCTTGAAGTTTTGCATACTTTAA